GAGGGAGGGAGGGAGAGAGGGAAGGAGGGAGGGAGGGAGGCGGCTCTAGGAACGGCTCATTGTGGACGTGAGCGGGGTGGCGTTATAGGCTCCCTCTAAAACTGTTCAACACACACGGAGCTCGCACGCACGCACGCATACACACATAAACGGCGGTGCTCAACTGGGGGCCGTTACCAACACAATGCACAGCCAGTTTAAGACTTCGTTTCAGCCCCAGCGACAGTTTTGCTGCTTCCCGGGTCGTGCCGGGCGCCGCTGCCGGACCCTTCACAACGGCGGCAGCGGGGCGGGCGGAGTCGTTGGCGGTGGCGGAGCGTGGCGTGGCGCTAATCTCCAGCCCAAACAGCCCCAAACACCACTGGTACAAAGCCCAGAGGTGCCGCCCGAGCTGGCGCCCCGCCCCGCCACGCCTCACTCGCCCGTCCCCGACGCGGCACGCGGCCCAATGGCAATGGCACCCCTCAGACCGCCCGCCCGCCCCACCACTTTCGCATAGCTAGTAGAACGCTCAAACAACGCGAAAAGAAAGAAAAGGGGAAAAAAGGGTGAAGTAAAGGAATTACTTGCAAATCCATCTGGATAAAACCACGGAGTATTGGATTCTACTACGCTCCTCCTCAGCCCCATCTCAGCAACCTCGCATAAAAGGTGGAGAAGAAGAAGAAAAAGAAAAGGATAGGCGGATGAGGGGGGACAGATACAAATTAAGGGCTCAAGGCTTCTGCGCGCGGCGACGTGGCCCATTCCCCGATACGGTGCCGACAGAGCCTCTCTCCTCGGTAGGCAGTCCCCCTCCGTAACTCATATTACTTAAGTGACATTAAAGTTAATCTGAGAGTTAAAATTTTTAGTTCTTATTGTAATATACTGTGTCATTTAGAAAAACAAAACAATAAGAAACATACGTATTTGACTTGTCCAATTTATCGAATACGTTTCAGCATTTTTTTTTTCTTCAAATTCACAACTATAACATACCTACTCTCGGTACACAAGATCAAAATTAGAATGTAAAGAGACGATAAACGAAAGATAAGTACTCACAAAAGGCAGCAGCTCGTTGGGCGCCATGCCCGATACGATGAGCAGGTAGCGGATGATGACCTTGAGGTTGTTCGGCCAGCAGGAGCACAGCGTGGACCACACCTCCTCCATCTCCTTGGGGTGTGAGTCGGAGAACTGCGGGACAGAAAAAGGGACGACAGATGAAGAAAACTAAAAGAGAGAAAGTTTCGTGCGCTGTGTGGCGCGCACACACCTCCTACCTCCTCACACACTTAAAAAGTATGAAAAAGCGTTCTTTGTGTTTGTGTTACTGCTTTGAAGGTTACGTACGAAGCAATGCGTTTTAAACTTTTACAGTGGACTCTATACAGCGGGGCCCATCCCGCCCGCATCAACCTCACATTAAGTCCGCACGCAGAAAAAGATTTAACCTCGCCGCTCTGATAGCGAATACATTACTCGGCTAATCCAACGGTACATAGTATACGACACGGTTGGTCTCAGTGTCACAAAAGTGGGGCAAAATAAAAAGAGGGCAGAAACACGCGCTGCTGGAACAAGTTTGTTTTTTATGCGATAAAAAGATAAATTATGTTTGCCGATTACGAAATATGAACCGTACCCGCGGCGCGGCCGTGCAACATTTGCTAAATCCCTTGGAGCGCCATTAATTCTTGGTCTTCGAAGGGTCCCCACGGCGGGTCGCCTGGACGGTGGAAAAAGGAAGTGGGGGGGGGGGGGATAATTCGTCGTGCTGCAGGTCCCAAACCACCCCCCCTCCCCTTTCCTGATAGAGGGGCAGCTGCAACACCGCGCGTAAAAAATGAGAGCTTTGCGCCAACGCGGCCGCGGGAATCAATTGACGGCCTCAGCGTGCCTCAGCGCCCCCGCGCCTCGGCAGGGTAAACCGGCAGGCCTCGGCCCGCGCTATTAGGCCTTGGAGCCCGCCGCCCTGCCCCGCGCCGCCCAGCGGCGCTGCTCCCGCCGGGGCAGAGGCTGACAGTGTGAAAAACGATGTCCGCGGACGAT